TATAAAACAAAACAAAAATATATATATTTGTTTTGATTCTTTCCCTATTTCTGAAACCGGGTACAGTGAGGATGGATGTTGCCACTGCATGTTCTACAGATTCTCTATATATCTATCATCTCTCTGCGGCTTTTTACCATTTATCTATTGTTCCTTTTTGTTCCTTTTTATCCCTTGGCTACATCTTTCGCGTTACACTTTCTGCACAATTTTTTTCTGCTTCGTGAGCCACTGACACAACATTGCAAAACAATTTACTTTTTTTTCCTTCATAATTTTTTTCTTGTTTTTATCTGTTGATCTGTATAGAGGTGGTGTGTCACAGGACAAGAGTTCAATAGGAATGTTTGTGATAGTAATGATGATTAATGATAATGATGAAAATAATGATAATGATGATAACAATGATGATGTTGATGGTGATAACATAATGATAATATTAATAGTAATAATGATAATAATAGTAATGATAATAATGATAATTATAACAATAACAATAATGATATAGTAATGATCATAATCATCATCATCATCGATATCATAACAGTGATAATAATAATAATAATAATAATAATAATAATAATAATAGTGATAATGATAATAAAAATGATTTTGATAATAATGATGATGATAATACTGATCATAACGATGATAACAGTAATGATAATCATGTAAAAATAACAATGACAGTCATGATATTAGTAATAATGATAACAAGGATAATAGCAATGCTAATAATAATAATGATACTACAAATACTAGTTTTTTGATAATGATGGTAATATCAATGGTAGTAATAACAATGAGGTAATAATAATGATAATATTAATGATAATAAAGCTGATAATGATAATAAAGATAATAAAGATAATGATGATAACAAAAATCCTGATAATAGTAATGAAAGTAATTATGATAATAATCATGATAATAATAATAATGATAATAACAATAATAATAATAATAATAGCAAGAATAATATTTTTTTAACAATTAACAAAAATATAATTGTAATGATGGAAATGATAAAGAAGGATGATGATAATATTAATAATAATGAAAAAGAAAAACAAAACAAGAAATGAAATAATAGTGAAAAAGAAAAAGAAGAAGAAAAATAATGATACTATTAATGATTATAATAATGATAATAACAATAACTGTAATGATAATGATGATAGTTATGATAAAAATTGTAATGGCAAAGGTGATAATGTTAGTAATAATGTTAATGATGATATTGATAAAGATAATAATGATGATGATGATGATAAGTGATAATAATAAGGATAATAATGATGATTAAAATAATAATGACAATGAAAATAATGACACCGACAAGAACAGAAATAATAATAATAATAAATATAATAATGATAATAATAATAATGATAAAAATAGCAACAATAATAATGATAATAACACTGATAATATTCATTTACATAAAAACAAAAAAGATGATGAAAATATTAATAAAAATAATGATAATAGTAAAACGAAATAATGATAATAAAACGAAATAATGATAATAGTAAAACGAAATAATGATAATGGTAATGGTAATGAAGATAATAATAATAACAATTATTATCATTATCATTATTATATCATTATTATTACTATCATAATAATAATGATGATGATAACAATTATAATAAGAATGGTAATGATGGTAGCAGTAGTAATGATAATTGTTATCATCATCATCATCATACTAATAACAAAAGTAATAATATCGAAAATTATGATGATGAAGATAATGATAAGGAAAACAATGATAGAATAAAGAATAGATAAAAATGTAAATAACAATAGCAATAATAATACCAATAACAATAATGTTTATAATATTAATAATAATAATAGTAATTTATAATAATAACATTGATAATAATAATGATAATAATAATGATGATAATAATAATAATAATAAATATAACGATAATGACAATGATAATGATAATGATAATAATAATGATGATGATGTTAATAATGATAAGTACATGAATAATAACGATGATGATGATAAATTTTATGATGACAATAATAGCGATAACAACAATGATAATGAGGATGATAATGCTAATAGTAATAAAATAATGATGTAATGATAAATATTATAAATATGATGATAATAGTAATAATGATGATAATAATAATAATAATAACAAAGCAATAATAATGAGGGCAAAGATTATGATAATGAAAAAAATAAAAATATATCTATTAATAAAAGTAATAATGATAAAGAAAATGATAATTCATAGTCATAATGATGGTAATGATAAAATTGATATTGATTACGAGAAGGATAGCATGATTATGATAATGATATGATGACGGTAATAATGATAATGATATGATGACGGTAATAATGATAATGATAACAATGATAATGATGATTATGATGACAATAATGATTATAACAGTGTAATAATATTGATAATGGTGATAATAATAATAATAATAATAATAGTGATAATAAAGATAATATTAATGA